TATTTTCTGTGAACACGCTTCTGTAGTGCCACTGAACTTTTCAAATCAAGAAAGGAAATAATATGAAGGTTCCAGCTTGAAATGAAATACTCCGATATGCATAATTTACGCAATAAACCAAAAAAATGCATGATATATAATACATTTTGGATACTGAGAGGTATGTATATTGGGTTAAAATTTCACGGACATTTATTTATCTATCCTATTCCATCGAATACTTACTTCAACACCATTTCAAATGACCTCTTCTTTAACATTAACCTCGAAAATTAACAACACGTGACTGATGAAAGCGTAGAAAAAAAACACTTGTGACGCAATCACGTGACAAAAATAACAACGGTTGAAGTACAAATAACCTTAAGCTGATGATTTAGGTCAATTCAATAAATAATTAGTTTATTTTGTAAATGATGACAGGCATTTTTAACCTACAGTCTCTTTTTTTTAGAAGAAGTACAGTAACAATGAATAAATAACTAACCAATAAATATTTAGTTAGTTTATAAAGATTTTTTTAAAAACTGCACGTTTGTTTCCGTCACATCACTCAATGTCACATTCTCTTTTCAACTAGATGTAAAAAGATTCATTAAACGTACATAATACAAGCATAATTAAATAATTATGCCGTGTAAGAAAAGAAACGTCCAAGTGACCTTGGGAAGAGTATGGATCGCAATCAGGTGTGGAGAAGTTCAATTTTATAACTAAAAACGCACTTGAATCAATCAACTCGACCATGCATCATAAGTGAACTTCAGAACGATATAATCTTTTCAATGATTATAAAACTTCATATCTAGTGAACGAGAACACAGGTGGGTCGACCGAATTGTATTTAGCGAAAATAACAGAGTTACTCAGTTTAAAATAGGAAAACCATATCGTAAATCGTTAATTTGCAAATTATCAGTTCATCATATCGAACTGAACTGTTCCTGTTGCAAAACACCAACCCATTGTCACTATTCATGCGTTTCATACAAATTCTATTGTGTTCTAACTCTTCGTTTCTTGATCTTCCCCCATATTCTGCTGCCAGACATTACGTTGACACTCACGTCATATACTACTTATAAGTAGCTCACACCACACATACACCTAATTATGTATAATATGATGTAGTACTGAACAATAAATAACATGTACAAACAAACAAACAAACCAAAACCAAAGAGCAACCAAGTCAATATTGATTTTTCTTTTTTCTCTCTACAATTTAGGCACAACAATTAAGAAAGAAGCATCTTTTATTAAAATCTACACAACACACACAACTGCATCCATCATATCACACAGTTTGCAGAAGACGAAGAATATGTGCACTTTTTTTAAAAAAAATTCATTAAGGCATAAGAAAAAAGGAAGACAATTAATCGTTTAGATATGGCTGATTCAATGATCAATGATTAGAATTAAAAAAAATAAACAAATGTAAGAAAAAGTTGAAAATATATATATAAACAAATCTTTATTTGTTTTTTTTCGTTGGAGAAATATATAGAAAACAGTTAGTGAATAAATAATCGAAAAAAATGGTATTATTAGTCAGTCAGTCAGTTAGTCAGTTACAACGTTGACCTCCGTACTTACGTACATCAGCTCAGGTTTCCACATTACATTATGTCAGATGCAACGTAGAACCTCGTACGTAAGTACAACAGTTCATGTCGCCATACCACATCAGCACAGAGACATAATTGTCAATTCAAATCCAATAGCAGAAGAGATAGTAAAGGTATTAGAAGTGATCGGAGAGGTCAGGATGACAAGATATTCAAGAAATATGATTCAATGAGATAAGTTTAGAAAGACAAAACTAGAGGTGTTGAAGAATCCAGAAGATTAAGATTTGAGAGAACACAAAGCATAAATGCACTGGCGCCATTGCGAACGATTTTGAGCCATGTCATTCAAGGTCTCTAACCATCGATTATTATCATCTCGCGGACGCCAATCAGGGAGGTAGTCGACAATTACCGACATGGCTAAGTCCACTCGTCAATGACTTCATGGATTTCTGCCATGTTTTGGTTTGGCCGCCGCTAACTTTCTTCCAACCTATTCCTACACTACAAAACAAAGCTCGACTAGGCAGTCGGTGGTTGGGCATACGCAACACACATTATCACAGAGATGCAATTGCCACTTCAAATTCCATAGTAGTAGAGATAGTTGAAGTATTAGCAGAAATCGGAGAGATTAAGTAAGTTTCATTTGTAAGAAGCTTATCGTCAAACACTGTTTTCGTCCGAGGTAAGATGAAAAGCAGAGGAGTGTAGGGAATAATTCATTGAGATAAAGTTAGAGATTTTGAAAACATAAAAAAAAACACTTATTACACAGAATAATTAATTGTAAATAAAACTTTACCACATACCCTGAGTACAAATGAAAGCATTTTTCTGACGATAACCATCAACCCAATTTGCATGAATATAATTTTTCACTAGTGTATGCACTGATATCGGTGCTGAATGTGTACGATGAAGACGTGAGGTAGAGGATTTTTGAGTATTATAACACGACGACATTACTGCCGGCTCTTCATTACAACCGCTGCCAGTGGAAATTCTAGATGAAATCTCCGATGACGGTAATAATAATGGTTGAAGATAAACACGTGTTGCATCATGACAAATTACATCACAATAACGATTTTTACTTCGATTAAGAATATGCCTGAAATAAAAACAGCAGAAAAAAATAAGTGAAATAGAATTTTTCTTTTTAGAAAAAAAAACCCCGAAAAAAATGAATACGACTAAATAATGCGCCAGGAAACTACTGTATCAATTTACCTTGTTAGATATCACGTTAATACAATTAAAGTTAATTAACAATAAAAAAAACCCACAGTAGATAAAAGATAAAACGATTAATAAAACTTAAAATTGATAGCATGTGATGATACTGTGTACATGGTTGTAAGGGAAAAATTGAAGAATAAAAACATCTGCTCTACAATAACTGCTGTTAAAAGCCATAATCAACTAACGTCTTGATTCATAGACTAACTTGATTATGTAGATCCTATACTAGATATTTGTGAATTTAAACTGTTCAAACCATTAATTATTAATTATTTTTCATGAATTGATGGGTATAGCACAGCAAAGTATATTTTAAACTCATACACTCACCAGACAGCATAGTGTTTCGAAGTAGGCCCTATTCTAGGACTATTACTGTTACCCCTTAAAAAAAGCATAAGCCACCGACCAGCGAAATGTTTTTTCTGGTTAGAGCTTTCGTTGGATTTATACGGAATATGTGGTTGCTCCGCCTATTCCCACCAACTCTCCTCATTTATCCGAGCTTGGGACCGACAATAAACCCTAGAAGGGCTTCAGGCAGACTATGTAATACCATATATCTCAATTTCGTTAGCTGAACAAGCGTAGATTTCGATTCACACTTGCTGTATGAATATTTAGAGATACTTCCACAGCACTTAATTAGTGTTAAAGACTTAGTATTATGATTCTTGTCATGAATTGCTCTAACTGCCAAAGGTAGACAAAACGATTTCACGGAAAAACACAAAAACCGTCATCTGACCAATTTATCCAGCTGAGATTTGTTTCAAGATTATGGATTTTAGTGTTCCGGTTTGAAGATAGGCATAGATTCACCTGTCATATGCAATCTCTTGAGATATGGGGATAGAGTACACTATCCATTTAACACCGAAATGGTAAAAGGTATTTTTTTTCCCTCGAATTATTCACAAAAACCTAAAAGTTGTCTTCTTGCTAATATATACGCAATTTTTTGAAACCACGAATCGATCAATGTTAGACCACCATTAGAAACCTGCAAGAAGCACTGGACGACGGCCATTTCGTCCTGGTATGGGACTTCTCAGCAGTGCGCATCCACGACTCCTGCACCCCGCAGGATTCGAACCCAGGACCTTCGGTATTGTGCGCGAACGCCCTAACCGATAGACCACTGAGCCGGTATCTAACGGTGTTAATGTCTAACTTGATAATATTCACGGAGTTGCGCAACCTCATACACAGTCTTCGGTAGTTATTGTCTACACCCGTACAGGTTGAACTTCAATGGTCACGTCTTCCCACTAGAACTCGGAGAAGATTCCTCACGAAGCTAGTCACTAGTGAGCACAGGTAATTTGCATTACGGGGTTGTGAAGATTGTTAAGTTACACATTTTTGAAACCACAATACCGAAGGTCCTGGGTTCGAATCCTGCGGGGTGCAGGAGTCGTGGATGCGCACTGCTGAGGAGTCCCATGCCAGGATGAAACGGCCATCCAGTGCTTCCAGGTTTCTAATGGTGGTCTAACATTGATCGATTCATGGTTTCAAAAAATGTGTAACTTAACAATCTTCACAACCCCGTAATGCAAATATACACAATTAAAAATAACTTAGGCCCTATTTGTTTTTATTTTCTATAATCCAACTATACTACTGATTTATTTACTTATTTATTTATTCATCTGTCATCTCATTCACAAAAATTTAGATTTGACAAGTTAACTACTCTTCACAAAAACCATAACAAAACAAAAATACAATGTCTAGTTGATCTCAAAAAAATTTTCTTTTAGGTGGGTGGATGAAATGAGTTATGCTGCTAAGGACAGACAATTGTCTGAACTCAATGTTACACTAGATCTATGCGTATATAACAAATATATACATAAATAATATTTTCAATTGTAATTACACTACTTACTAAGAAAAGATTCAAAAAAAGAAGAAAAAAGAACTGACGAAAAGAGAAATTAAATATATGACAATTTTGAAGAAGGATGGTATAAAATTATTGGCACAGAAAAGTGTAAAATTCACAGTCAGTAATAAGCATTACATTATCATTACTACTACTACTATTATTATCATTATCATTAATATTCGGAAAAGTATTCATTCTAAAAATAAGCGAGTATCAAATCTTTAAATAAAAGAAAAATGGTTAAAGCATTAAAACAGATTTATTTTCATATTGTAGACAATGATAGAGAGGAACTATTATATAGCTTGAATGCTGCCTTCTTTGGATAACATTAGAAATAGGCTTTAAACGGAAACCTTGTTTTAGTCGATGTTAACTTGGTGTGTCAAATAAGATGGTAGATGCACGGTGCGGCGGAGGTGCGGTGCGAGCTACTTATAAGTAGTATATGACGTGAGTGTCAACGTAATGTCTGGCAGCCGAAGATGGGGGAAGATCAAGAAAGGAAGAGTTAGAACACAATGGAATTTGTATGAAACGCATGAATAGTAGTGACAATGGATTGATGTTTTGCAACAGGAACAGTCCAGTTCGATATGATGAACTGATATTTTGCAAATTAACGATATACGATATGGTTTTCCTATTTTACTGAGTAACTCTGTAATTTTCGTTAAATACAATTCGGTTGGCCTCACCTGTGTTCTCCTTCACTACAGAGGGATAATGATGATGATGATGACTTAATAGAATGGCGATATTACACATTGTGTAAAAACAATAATGAACACATTTAATTACTAATCATTAGATCGATATAGTTATTATTATAAACTGTGCTGACTATTAAAAAAAAGAAAACAGCAGCAAGAATATTGGAAAGAATCACAGACACTGTGTATATCGATCATGAGATGGTGTAGTCAGTCAGTCAGTCAGTCAGTTGCAACGTAGAACTTCGTACGTAAATACATAAGTTCATGTTCCCATATCACATTAGCACAGTAACGCAATTGTCACTTTGTTACGCCTGCACGTAAACACGTTAACTTGATATACTTGAACTATTACGAGTTTACCTAGACGGAAAACGAGAGCGAGGATCGAGGATCCGGTGACACAACATGCTACTCACATATGATTATCCCAACCCCCGTATTGAGTAAAAGAAGACAAAACTTGATATGAAGTAGAACCTGTATTCTACAAGCATCCAGCAAGTACGAGGTCCGAATCCAGAAGAGAAACAGGATCCCGGACTAGGGATCCAGGACCGGGTCCTAGTCCCGGTCCTGGTCATAAAACATTACAAATAATGCGTATTTATACATTTTGGTCGAATAAGAAACAGAATCGAAGTCTGTGACATTGACAGTTAAGACGACCAATAGGAAGCAACATTTGGAGTGACACTGATAGTCAGGTCAACGAATAAGAAACAACATTGGAGCACGTGACATTGATATCTAGGACGACCATAAAATTGACCAGTAGGAATCGACAAATAATCCTCTTAGTATACTGGATAAATATCCCAACAGACTTCAAATACCATATTGGTAGAGATGGTAGAACTATTAGCGGTAATGGAGTAGATTAGGGTTCCAAGATATTATTCAAGAAGTATGACTCAGTGAGATAAGTTTAGAAAGGTGATGATCAATTCAGTAGATTAGGATGCACGTGTGCCATTGCAAACGATTTACATTCACGTCATTCAAAGTCTGTAACTATCAGATACTATCGTCTCATATAACCCAACCAGGTAGTCTAAGCCTACTAACATGACTCAGTCCACTTGTCAGTGACTTCATGGAATTTTGCCATGTTTCGATAAAGCCGCCCCTACTCCTACATCAAAAAACATTGCTCGCCGAGGCAGTTGGCGGTCGGGTATACGTAACACATGTCCTAACCACCTTAAATGATGAAGTTTCAATACCAAGTCTGTTGATTAAAATTTGGGAGAAAACATAAGGAATGGATGCATCCGCAACATTGCAAACTATTTAGATTTATTTCATTCAAAGTCTCTAACCATCGGTTACTACTGTCTTGAGGACCCCAACCAAATAGTCTACACCTACTAACATGGCTCAGTCCAGTTGCTGTGGACTTCAAAGATTTGTGGCATGTTTTGTTCTGACCACCCCCCTCAGTTTCTTGCAGCCTACTCCTGCATCACAAAACGTCGCTCGTTGGGGCAGTCTGTGTCAGCATAGACGGCTTCTCTTCATCAGTTATCTCGACTGGTTCACATCCATAGGCTGCTTGAAACTAATCCCTTGATGGACATTTCATCATAAGTACGAAAAAGCTCAATGTCACCTTTTGTTGAATACATGTCATCCTAAGATATCTTTCAATCTCAAATCCCATGTCTTAGAAACTGAAGACAGACAGTACAAATGTGGTCTTCTGACTAAATATGATTGTCATTTAAGACATATTCCTACAGACTGATGAATGGACATACATTATCACATGACGAATGCAATAGAAATTCGTAATACAATTTACTTATCCTGACATATTAATACTGTAAAATCAACAATAACACTACAACTCTTCACTAAAACAGATGTGCAGAATTACTTGAATAGGCTCTCTGATAGATTACATACTAAGTGACTGTGATCACTTTATTTTTTAAAATACTAAAATGAACTGTTTTAATAGAATGATAATATTTCAACTGTTTTCGACAGAATTTAGACTATTAAAACCAATGGAAATAGTTAGCACATGTGTTACGTATGCCCGACCACCGACTGCCTCGATGAGCGATGTTTTGTGATTGGAAGAAACCTAGGGGAGGCCATACCGAAACACTGTACGAGTCCATGAATTCAATGACAAATAGACTGAGTCATGTTGGTAGATGCAGACTACCTGGTCGGGGTCCGCGAGACGATAGTAACCGATGGTTAGAGACCTTGAAGGACATGGCACAAAATCGTTTGCAATGGCACAAGTGCATCCATTCTTTGTGTTTTCTCAAATCCTAATCTTCTGAATTCCTCATCACCTTTATCTCTCTCTCTTTTTAATTTTTTTCACTAGATTATACTTCTTGAATAATATCTTTGAACTTTAAACTTCTTCATCACCGCTAATACTTCTTCTACCTCGACTAGTTTGGGATTCGAACAGACAACTGAGTCTCTGTGCTAATGTGGTTGGTTATAGCAACCTGAATTTATGTACAAAGTTCTACATTGTAACTGACTGACTGACTGTTATCACATATCTTCCGTATAACACCAACAAACAAAATAGAAAATGAAATCACTCACTTGAAAGCAATATGTGTATATTCATTTTTCAATTGAACAATTGCACTGTACTCAGAATTCAAACCAGTTAAACCAACATTTTCAATATGTTCCACTAAATCATTTGGATTCATCCAATGCTCTTGCATATTGATTGTTTGAGTCACTTCTAAATTATCATCATCATCATCGTCATCTTGATCTTCATCATCCTCTTCTTCGATTTCTTCAACTGGTTCAAAATCATCAACATCATTGTCAATGTCATCATCGTCATCATGATCAACAATTGCACCTTCATCATCATTTCTATCAGATAGCTGATCACTGCTAGATGTAGTACTATTGATTTCAATCATATTCGCATCAATTTCATCGAAGATTTTTTGTCTTTCTATCATCATTGATGATGATGATGATAATAATGAATTTTGATGATGATGATGATCAGTGTACAGATTATTATTATTGATTGGTGGTGAATTAATAATGGACAGTGTTTTATAATTGGCCGTATGATGTAATGAAGGCGAAGACGAAGAAGGAGGAGGAGGAGTTTGTACAGCCCATTCATTAAATTTATCATATTTTGACGGAATCAAATAATTTACTGATGAAGAATTCAATGGAGACATCTCTGTAATTTGATTATTGTTCATTAAACAGGATGTTGGTGATGATGATGATGCTGCTGGCAATTCAGTAGTAGGATAAATGAAATTGTGATCTTGATGAATTGATTCACCTTGAGGACGTCCAATTGACCAATGAGGAATAGTATCTGATGAAATAGGGCTAGTGTGAATGAGTTTCGAGTCATGAGCTAGAAAAAGTAAAGAAAACGAAATAAAATAGTTCCATAGTTCTTTTTTTTATATCACAGATTGATTGTAGTTATACAATCATGGAAAACTAGGAAAAAACTACAGAGTTATTCAGTTCTAATTTATGGGATCGATTAGTCTTTAGTAACATGCGTCAATCATGCCGATCGAAATGAAATCTAGCTGGAAGAGCTTAGTACTTATATCATTAAGCCTGACTACGGGTCGATCCGTAATATTGCTTGCTTACTTGCTTACACCTGTTACCCCCAATGGAGCATAGGCCGCCCACCAGTTTTCTCCAACCAACTCTGTCCTGGGCTTCTCGCTCCAGTTCTATCCAATGTTTGTTCATTCCTCTCATATCTTTCTCTATTTCTCGGCGTAATGTATTCTTTGGCCCTCCTCTTTTCCTTTTGCCTTGAGGGTTCCATGTGAGGGCTTGTATCGTGACGCAGTTAGGTGCTTTTCGTAGTGTGTGGCCTATCCACTTCCACCGCTTCTTCCTGATTTCCTTCTCCACTGCAATCTGGTTTATTCTCTCCCACAGTACGTTGTTGCTGATCGTGTCTGGCCAACGAATACGAAGTATTTTGTGTAGACAACTGTTAATAAACACTTGTATCTTCTGGATGATGGCTTTCGTAGTTCTCCATGTTTCCGCTCCATACAGTAGAACTGTCGTCACATTTGTATTGAAAATCCTTATTTTGGTGTTGATTGAAAGTTGTTTGGAGTTCCAGATATTTTTCAACTGTAGAAATGCAGCCCTTGCTTTGCCAATCCGCGCCATCACATCTGCATCCGATCCACCTTTCTCGTTGATGATGCTGCCCAGATATGTAAAGGTGTTAACGTCCTCCAAGGCATCTCCATCAAGAGTGATTTGGTTGGTAAATGTTGTGATGCATCGGAGAATTTTGCTCTTTCCTTTATGTATGTTGAGACCTACTGCTGCAGAGGCTGCTGCTACACTGGTCGTCTTCTCTTGCATTTGTTGTTGAGTGTGCGATAGAAGAGCCAGGTCATCTGCGAAGTCAAGATCGTCCAGCTGCGTCCTAACTGTCCAGTTGATACCGTGCTTCCCTCCAGACGTCGACGTCTTCATAATCCAGTCGATCACCAGGAGAAAGAGAAAGGGTGAGAGTAAGCAACCTTGCCTGACACCGGTCCGTAATATAGTCAGAAATAAAAAAATAACAGTATATACTTTATATTTATTCACCATATCTATGTTGACCGACAAACATTAAATAAAAACAACGAAAATTATTTTGACAGTAAATTAATCTAGTGAAAAAGTTACTTATCTATTTTACAAAATGACGTGAAACTTATTCTATCCGGTAAATCGTCATCATTTGTGGAATAGTTGAAAACTTCCGGATCACAATGTGATACATTCTCGAAATTTACATATATTTTAACTAATAGTAATGTATGGTAATGCTACACATAACGTGTTTACTGGCTTCTATGAAAAGTTTGTAAATTACATCGCTGTGGAGAGACAGGAGGGAGAGAGATTTCTCTGTTTATATAACTTTTGAAGACGTAAAACAAACGTTTGTTTATATGCATATGTAGATATTCTGCAGGTAATAAATTTTTCAGGCTGGATGATTTGATTGTGAAGTTCTGTCTTTATAGATAACATAAGATTGTGCATTCAACCTGGAACAAGCTGTTAATTGTTAGTGCAGAAAGTATGACAGTTGATGATGTGGTGTATTATAACCGATGAAATCTTCGCGACTAAACTATCCAGTCCAATGAATACCATAACCTTTGAAATCTTTATTCCGAGCAACAAATATTCTTCATCAGCTAGATTTTTAATCTAATACAATCCATTGAGAGAAATAGTGTCCATTCGGATATATATACATATATATATATATATATATTTTCTGATACCAGTACAATTAACGAATGAAACTTTAAGCCTATAGTCGCGGAACCATATTACACAATAATCACACTGGAATATAAGAGATAGGTTGAAGAATCATCTGCTAGATAAATAATGTAATTCCGCCTCCTGTTATTTACGCAAAATACTTCGAGTTCGCTGGCCAGACACTATCAGCAACAACCTACTATGGAAGAGAACAAACCAGATTCCAGCAGAGGAAGAAATCATGAACAAGAGCTGGAAGTGGATTGGACACACACTCAGGAAAGTACATGGCAAGCCCTCACTTGGAATTCCCAAGGCCGAAAGAAAAGAGGAAGACCAGATGAACAACAACTGGACAGAACTAGGAAGAAAGGCACAGGACAGAGTAGGCTGGAGAATTTTGATCAGCGGCCTATGTTTGTTTCACTAGGGGTAACAGCTGCAAATAAGTTAATAAGTAAGATAAATAATGTGATCTATTAACTTGAGCTTTCTAACGAATATGAAATTTCTTCCCATAATCAAACCACGGTGGGCCCCACCGCTCCTTCTAGTTAAATAATTTGTCTAGTGATTCAAAAAAAGCCTCAAGGGAAAACAGAAGAAATGAATTTAAAAGAAAAAAGGAAAAATTTGAAGTGATCATTAAAAAAGAAATTAATTTACCTTGTGGTGTATGAATCGGACTTTTATGACTGCATATAGTTCGATCTTCAATTTCATCTTGAGCAAGAGGAGCAATTCTATTTTGAACAGGAACTAAACAAATAGAATCGGAAATTTCCGCATCTGCTAGAGGTAAGTCATGATCTTTAAAAGTCGCTACACTTGAAGTTTCATGGATAACTTTCGATTGTCCATGTCTTCTTTCAACTTCAGTTGTCTTCGGTAAGCTGGATGTTATTAAATGATTTGAAAGTTTATCTCCAGTTGGACTGCACTTTGTCGAATGTATACCAATGGAACCAGTGGAGAAAAATGATGTACTAGATGAACACGATGAATTAAGTGCATGTGGATGATTCCCGTAATAATTGAAACCAGTTTGTTTTTCATCAAAAACATCAGACATTGAAGGTAGGTTGGTAAAATTGTCAGCAGTAGGAGTTACAGGATCCATACGTGTCGATGATACATCTTCCCTGAAACCCATTGTATGATGATTCCCTGAGGTGATTACATTGGAAGAAAAATTATTTGTATGATCTGATACAACAGTATCATAATTCAAATTTGCTGTAATTGACAATTGTGGGCGTTTAGCAACTACCGGTGGAGTTGGTGTTCCACCATGTTCTGAATTTGATAATGTTTGGCGTTTATGATCATAGGAGCATGCTTCCGAATGATTCGAAACGGATCGTGCATTGTAATTCTGGAAAATAAATTGATTGAGAAAAGAAAAACATTTCTCCGTGAGGAATCCCATCAAGTTTTATGGTTCCTTAAACGTGAAGAAGGAAACGGGGCGTGAGAGACTAAACATTAAAAAATTATTTCATTGTTGCTTACATTCGGTCTCTCTTTCTGCTAAACTTAATGCGGAGTGTTTTATACTAATATTATACCTGATAATTCAAAACAGAAAAGTATCACATCAACGAAGGAATGACCAATTAACAAAACCCTCTATGTTCCATGACGATGAACTAGAGAGAAGACATAAATGCATTATGAAGAGCATTATTTAAAAGCCTGTAATGGTCATACATAACCACAAAACAATTGAGTAACAGTGAACATATAACATCATTGATCTCATATCAGATTTTATAGTTAAAATCATAAACTGATCTTATGTAGATAATTATTTAAAACCAGGAAGTATGGTTGTTTAACTAAGGTCAGTTCTTAATGTAAATTATGAAAAGTTAACAACCTTCAAAAGTCCTTTTACAACCGCTCAATAATAACTAATTCTGAGAGATGAGTCGCAGTTTTAATGAGAAGCCATAACGAGTGGAGCTCAACAATGTTGGGTATAAGGCCACGATCAATCTGTGACTTTAGGAATAAATATGACTAACTGACTGACGTCAGAAAGTGAATTTCCCCACAACATAGTGTCCTAAGGTTATCATGCTGAGCTTGAGACTTAAAGGTTCTGGGTCGTATATTCGCACTGTTGATGAGTTCTCAACTGTGACACAGTTACTGTTCTTTGGTTCGTATACATTCCAACAGTCTAACAGTTGATATTACAGTCCAATAAACCGCCTAAAATTGTCATAGAAACTAATGAAGTAAATTTATTAATCTATTTTTAAGCTTTTGCCCGAAAATATATTGTCAAATCAATCATTTCCTCTTCTGTGCAAGCACATACACAGACAAGCACACAGTGATGCGTATATACACAACAACAATGAACAACTGTGTATAAACAAATATTTATAGATAAGAGAGAGGAGTACGGAGTGGAAACTTGGGGCATTGTATATATATATATATATATATATATATATATATATATATATATATATATATATATATCTGTGTGCAAACTACTATCACGCTATGCATCTATTTCTCTCACTTGATTGATTGGTTGATTGTAAAAACTGATTATATTTTTCTAAATCAGTTTAGTAAAGTCAATCATTAGCATCTACCGACATCTTGGAAGACAAATAGTTCAGTTGGTTTGCTACCCTAGCGACATTGATCACACTGTGCTGTCCTCAATGGCTTGTGACGTCTGACCCAGCGGAAGCCTACAAGACTCTTGAGGCGCCATAAATTACCAGGCTCATTTGGCCTACTACCGATACTTAATAAAGATAATAGTGACCTTCTGATTATGAGAATGACTGAGTTGCTTGGAATTAGTTGTTGGCATTAGTTGTCAAAACATTGTAAAATGAGTCGATAGTTGTAACTAACTCTAAAAAGGTTCATGTCATCCATGCAACAGTTATCAAAGGATAAATCTTCTTCCAATTAAGATCAAATTATTGGCTTCCTTCAGGCTTCGTAGATAGTTCAAAACCCGTGGAAGATTGGCTAGCCAGGAACAGCCTGGTTTTCGTTCTGGTCAAGAATGCATTGATCATGCATTTTCGCCCTCTGCTAAATGTTAAAATGTCGCCATACTTATTACAAGCCAACAATTGTTGTTTCTTGATATCAAGGCCAGATTTATGTAGTGCGTGGTTTAATGCTATTTATTTGGCTACATAACCCACAAATATTTAAAGTGTGGTTAAATTTTAAATGACACAGTTAAGTTTAGTCTGATGAATTGACAAATACTCATTGCTTTTTTTTAACTTATTCATATCGATTTGATGATAGTGAATTGGCGCGTACACGTACTATTTTTTTAAGTTTCTAATTGTTAACAGAGTCGTTTACGATAATCTAATTATCTCATATTTAGTGCACCTCTAAATGATATATCTACGGAATGAGATGGTTGAATATTTGAGGACAGGAAGGTTCAAAAAGTGATCAAAATAGTATTAGATTGTCTATTTCAAGAGTGAGTACTGGACAGTTGTTTCGTCACAGTATGGGACTTTTCACAGCAGCATCTACTCATAACAATTCCAGGGGACGAATCCAAGATCTAAAGATCCCTTGGCAAGCAAACAACCACATCAACCTTGTATAGTTTATGTGCAAGTTAAATAATGATTCTGTACAGAATAGGTAATGGTGCACATACAGACATGATCGAATTGAAATACATTGTAATTACTTTCAGTCCGCCTGTAAACCCTTCGGCAAAAAAGGGGGAGAGTTGGGATTCGTGTTGGCGACCCTATCTTGCAAAAAACTAACAAGAGATAATAATTCAAACCATATAAAGTCTGCTCTGGGAGTTAGAAGGTCTTCATTTAGAAGAGTTATGACGTCTCATAATGAAAGCCAAGTTCCTTCGAAAGTCATGAGGCCGATGCCCCTTCTGACAACCAGAACCCTTCCACCACAGTATGGGCAGATGGGAAGTAACATCCGCCTTCATATCCATAAAAGTACATGAGACCAAATTGGTCACAATCAAATAAAAACAGAGCAAAATACACAACGGTCAAGTGGTAGATTAGTTGTAAAATCAAGTGAACTTTTAACCATTAGATAAGAGGTTCAAATCCTCTTGAACAGCCAACGTAATTTTAATTAGCTGTCAGACGTATGACATGTTATTTCATGATTGATTGGTTGAAGATAAGAAAAGAAATTATATAATATATCTCACTTACACTATCATTTAACTTTTCTAAATTAGATGATGAAAGTGTTTTCATGATTACATTCGATGTACATTCTTCTAAATCGGAACTTTCAGCTTCACCGGAATATGAACTAGTCAAAGAGAATGGATCTAAATCATCAACACTCAATAAATCATCATCAGCAGCAGTAGCAGCAGTATCATCTAATTGACCATTGGAAAAACAATCATCATCTTCACGAAATTCATGATCACTGGAATCGGACAAGGAGCCAGTGGATTCAGAAGATGGACCAAAAAATGCACTCAATGTTTGAACACGATGACCGATAGGAAGTGTTGTCTAGCAAAAAGAATAGTATTTGAAAAGAAAGTTATTAAATTTACTCATTTGTTAAGTAATTGAGCATGAGACACACATTAAATATATCAGGGTTGATGATACACAGCCCGATCAATCAAACCGAAATAAGAGTGGCATGGAGTTTGAAACTGAGACCAAGTGACTGAAAGTCAAACAGCTTAAGCATTAAACTACCAATTCTTGGATACTAACAGAAAAAATAAAGGTGATTTCAGTATAGCTGGTCCGCTTTACAATCTCAGATGTGCAGGATAAATTGTACCGATGCTAAACTTATCGAATATTTTAAACTGGGCAGCGATAATGAGATTATGCACTATAAAAGTTTAAGACATTTGATATGTTTCCGTAGTAAATTCACGGTGTTGGGAACAAAACGACAAGAGAAGCGCTTTTAATGGATAGTATCACAAAATTGAGATTAGTCTCAGCGATTTGAATGTTTAAATGAGGATTCGTACTTTAAAAATATTTATGTTTTAATATGTAAATTACATATTTGTCCTAAGTGGGTCTTCGTTCCTTTTGACAGATACTGTATAGTCTGTCACTTAGGCTTTACATGGTAGCGCAATATCATGAATTGATTGAAGCTAGATATTAACATAGTTGGATGCCAACTCCGCATTCTTGTATGAGAACTAAAGGTCCCGAAGTCCATTCTCTATTGCAGGGAGTATTATACTAAGACGAAACAGCTGTCTAATGCATTCCGATTTTTTATGGAAACCCAGCTAAAACCAGTTCGTGAATAAAAAAAAACCCAAAACTCGATAATCACCAAAAAACTGTACACTGATAATTCAGTCAGTCAGTTACAACATAGAACTTCGTACGTACGTATGTACAAAATTTCCAGTTGCTATACCACACTAGAACAGAGACGTAATGTTCAGTTCAAATCCCATAGTAATAGAGGCAGTAGAAGTATAACCGCTAATGCAGAAGATAAGGGTTCGAAGACATTATTCAAGAAGTATAATTCAGTGAGATAAATTTGGAATGAGAATGATAGAGGTGATGAGGAATTCAGGAATAGGTTGGAAGAAAGTTAGCGGCGGCCAAACTAAAACATGGCAGAAATCCATGAAGTCATTGACGAGTGGACTTGGTCATGTCGGTAATTGTCGACTACCTGGTTGGGGTCCGCGAGATGATAATAATCGATGGTTAGATACCCTGAATGACATGGCTCAAAATCGTTCGCAATGGCGCCGGTGCATTTATTCTTTGTGTTCTCTCAAATCCTAATCTTCTGGATTCTTCAACACCTCTAGTTTTGACTTTCTAAACTTTTCTCACTGAATCATACTTCTTGAATAATATCTTCTAATCCTAACCTTTCCGATTACTTCTAATACCTTTACTATCTCTTCTGCTATTGGATTTGAATTGACAATTACATCTCTTTGCTGATGTGGTATGGCAACATGAAGTGATGTACTTACGTACGAAGTTCTACGTTGCCTCTGACTGACTGACTGACTGAGGAATTCAGAAGATTAGAATTTCATAGAACATAAAGCGTGGATGCACCTGAGCCAATGGAAACGATTTGGAGCCATGTCATCCAAGGTCTCTAATCTTGGCTCAGGACCGGCAAAATTTTTCTAAAAGCTTCACAAAAACTTACAAGTTTCATAAACTTGAAATTGAGACCAAATGCTTACTACTGGTTATCAAGATGTAAAATAAGGAAACAATAAACATTGTTTTATTGTTTGAAATTTTTCAGGTAAAAAATAAAACCTAATTTACATCTCTTAATCACTGTTTTACATCTTGCATTGGAAGTTCGGTTAATTAATGAAACAACAACTAAGTAAGGCATATGTTCAAAACACCATACGCAATTGAACTAAAAGTGAGAAACCGTGACCAGTGGAGTTCAATCCTGTTCAGGTGTAGGCAGTAAGTAACTACCGAAGACAAATGAGTGAGGTCGCGCAAAAATCACTAGATTGATCAGAGTTAGACATGAACACCGTTAGATGCCGGCCAGCTCACAAGTCCATAGGTTAGGCGTTGGCTAATAATAAAGCAATAAACACACATAAAACACACCTACCTGTTCTGCTTCAGTTAATAACCATCCAGTTCTTAATAAAGCAGTCTGTAGCCAAGCATAATGATCACGTTTTAAAGCAATTGGATCAGGATGACTAAGTGCTTCTAATTTAGTTCCAGGTGAAGGACGAAGTACATATACACAATCTTGAAATAATTCTCGAATAAATACTCGCATTAGTAAGAAAGGAGCACGAAACCATAGAGGAGCAGTTAGGATAATTACACGTCGAAGACGCACAGGATAGGAGGACTTGATATGGAGAGAGAGAGAGAAAAAAAAGCGTAAATAAAAAGGTGAATGTTGAAAAATTTTTAATTACAAAACGTTCAGTCTAAGTAGGATAAGACACATATTCTTTAAGTTGACCTCTTTTCATTTATTCAAATAACAACTAACAACTTCTAAAAATAATTAATTCGACAAAACTAATAAAAATAATATTTATCAAATTTTTTGTTCAATTGTTCATGCATTTGTAGTTCCAATACTTCGTGTAAAAGAAAATAATTCTGTAAATTATTAATCTTTAAATGAAACACACAAAATGATTGGTTCAGACCAATTAGTTTAAAGACCATTGAAATTCACCGATCATCGATTGATCATTGATTGATTTAACATGAAACGAATACAAAGTAACATTGACATCTTTAATTAGAATATTCCATTTGTAGACTGAGTTTTTTTTATTTTTATGACTGCAATAGATGATTAGAAATATATGGGCGTACAGAGAGAGTAACATATCACTCAGTAATGAAAGCTTAGTATTATTAACATGACTAAGTATTAAAAGTTGTCATATTTTTACCTACAGTATAGAAAAATATGTCAGAAAAAGAATATTAGAAAATATCATGTTTGTTTCACCGGTAAACGGTAACAATCACATAAAAACAGTATTACTACTGAGTTAATAATGTCTGTAAATTTCAAAGCTACTTACTTAAAACAACAATTCAATCAAACTACTATCATCTCCACCAACAAATTCAACTACTATGTTTGTTTTTATTACATTGATGTTATGTGAATATGACAAGGCTGTTCAACTCAAACTTATCAGATAAATTGAAAAGATTAACTTTCTTTGTTTTTCCTTCTATTTCCTTCTACATTATGATTGTAGTGAACGAGAACACCGGTGGGGCAACCGGACTGTAGTTTGCGAAAATTACAGAGTTACTCAGTAAAATAGGAAAACTATATCGTAAATCGTTCATTTGCAAAATATCAGTTCATCATATCGAACTGGACTGTTCCTGTTGCAAAACATCAATCCATTGTCACTATTCATGCATTTCATACAAATTCCATTGTGTTCTAACTCTTCCTTTCTTGATCTTCCCCCATCTTCTGCTGCCAGACATTACGTTGACACTCACGTCATATACTACTCATAAGTAGCTCGCACCACATGATTAGAATACAACAACTAATGTATAATTTTAGCATTATAGCTAAGCAAACAGATGGTTATAAACTGTCTGTTGCAATGAATTACGCTCGGAAAAACAGGTTATTCGTACCAAAATACTTGATTCAGTCATAAAAATAAACTCCCTAATCTAGCCATCCCCATAAAAACTAAACTAAATATTGTCATCAGATAATGTTGCAGAGGTGAAATATCAGGCTGAAGCATATCCACACCTTGATTGATGTTCTAGTGCAAGCACTGATTTGTTTGCAACACGACAACTTGAAGACTTCTTTAAGTTTAAGGAAGTCTCCACCAGCCATCTAGAGCAAAAAAGAAGGGATGTGAATCTAGCTTGCTACGACATGCAATAAACTTTAAAGCCTAATTGTAAAGATCAATAATAGCCAATGCATCTTTGTAATCTACTAGGTTGATAGAAGCTTGAAACCCAGATTGCCAGGTTAAGAAAATGATGAATTATGAATGGAGGCAACTTAAAAGCAGTTTGATGAAAAGTCTAAACAAAAAACCTAAATAGTAAAAAAAATGGAAACAAGAGACATGAGGCAATAATGATAAGTAGTATAAAACAGTTGTTTAAGGTGTTCAAAGACAGTTTGAAAGTCAGTCGCTGGCTAGAACAGCAATCTATTGTGGAAAAGGTCAACTAAAACAGTGGGCCTTTAACTACTATACAACTGAATTCGTGATTTAATCATCATTAGACCATCATTAGAAACTTGGAATTACTGGACGGCCGTTTCGTCCTGGCATGGGACTCATTAACAGTGCACTTTCGACTCTTGCTACTAGCAGGATTCGAACCCAGGACCTTCAGTCTTGCGTGTGAATGCTTAACCTCTGGACCACTGAGCCGGTATCTAAAGGTGTTAATGTCTAACTCTGATCAATCTACAGATATTGCGAAACCTCGCCCACTGTCTTCGGTAGTTACTGCCTACACCCGATAGCCTACATTTGATGCAATAAAAAAAGACATATTGATCAACAACACAATTATTCTCAACATTACAAAAGAAAACTCACTCGTAACATTTTGAATAATTTGCATGAAAATGCATAGTCAAAATTGGAATACTTTGAATCGGTCATATCAAAAATAAATACGAGACCATTTCTAGCAGCTGTTTCTCTAAATACACCAAATACAAAAAGTAAACAATGTTTAGTGTTGAATATAAAGAGTTCTTAAGGAAATAAAGTTAGAGTTCGGTCAGTGTTACGCCTGCACGTAAACACGTCAACTCAATATACATGAACTATTACGAGTCTACCTAGTCGGAAAACGAGAGCGAGGATCGAGGATCCGGTGACACGACATGCTACTCAAATCCGATTACCCCAACCCCCGTATTGAGTAAAAATAAGAAGACTTGATATGAAGTAGAACCTGTATTCGACAAGCATCCAGAAAGTACGAGGTCCGAATCCAGAAGAGAATCAGGATCCCGGACTAGGGATCCGGGACCGGGTCCCAGTCCTGGTCCTGGTCATAAAACGTTACAGATAATGCGTATTTATACATTTTGGTCGAACAGGAAACAACATCGAAGTCTGTGACATTGACAGTTAAGACGACCAATAGGAATCAACATTTGAAGTGACATTGATGTTCAAGACAACCAATAAGAAACAACATTGGAGCATGTGACATTGATATCTAGGACGAACATAAAATTGACCAGTAGGAATTAACCAATAGGAATCGACCAATAATTCTCTTAGGATATTGGACGAATATCCTAACAGTCAGTCAGTTGTAATCAACATAGAGCATAACGAAAAAAAATGCATTGGACAAAATTAACATTAGTACATTAACACAAGAGACAATTTGACAAGGAGATGAAATGATTGTGATGCCAACCCAAGAAGAAAGAGACCGAACATTAAAAATATAGTCACAAGAAAAGAGTGAAAGTTATACATGAAGGAATACTAAAATTCAAGATCCAGAATTAAATAAAGAGAGAACATATATACCCTAATACGAACACGCCTGAATCGCCTCACCTTATTGTTTCTAACCAATAAATCGTGATTATCAAGCAGATTTCACAACCACATAGTTGGTAATAAGAATAATTACAACCTCAAACTATTATTGACTAAACTACTAATGAAAGGCATTACGATAACAATTTATCGATTAAATCACTTTGACTTTTTCTCTACTACTATAATCAAATGAAATAATTCAGTAGAGTACTGTGCATAAATGACTAAGAAATTTGTTCGCTAAACACATACCATTGAAAATATTCACTATAATTTCAAAATTACACATCCTTATGACAAATTTTGCAAAACACAATAATACATCAAAAACTTTATACACGAGGAAAATCAGCTGTGCCATATTTCTTATCACTTAATGTAAACAGTACTAGTTCAACAAGAGAAAGTCAATTATTTTTATGGTCTTCACTTCTATGTTATTTGTTCTTATGACTAAATTTGATCTTATTGTGGTAAAAGTTTGAATTTCTAAAAAAAAACAGTTTTATGAAACAGATGTAATAAAAAGTAATAACTGTATATTATTCTGTTTTTTTTCAGTGACAAAAACCATACGAAACCAACGAAAATTTCCATATTCACGTGATTTGTGGGTGTATGTTGCAAATCTTGAGGGGCTTAAAAACCAGTGTGATTTGATAGATGAGATAAATTGTAAAATGTGTACTCTGACAGATAAAAATAGAACAAAATTCGCCTAGATTTAATTAAGTTCATATTTGGACAAAACACTGGACAAGAGAAAAACTGTTGCACTGCAAGGAATCAAGATAATGATAGAACTTTTGGTCTTGATTAGTCCCTGTTTAAAATCAAATTGTCCACTTTTTCTCAATGGACATAACATTTTACCCGAGAATTCGATATTCAATCAGTCAACAACAACATACAACTTCATACGTACGTACATCAGTTCAAGTTGCCATACATACCACATTAGCACAGAAATGCTATTGTCACTTCAAATCCCATATTAGTATAGGTAGTATTGTAGTAAAGGTGAGGGCAACCAAATTGTATTTAACGAAAATTACAGAGTTACTCAGTAAAATCGGAAAACCATATCGTAAATCGTTTATTTGCAAATCTTCAATCCATCATCAATCGATTGTCTGACATTTCACTATTCATGCGTTTCATACAAATTCCATTGTGTTCCCACTCTTCCTTTCTTGATCTTCCGCCATCTTCTGCTGCCAGACATTACGTTTACACTCACGTCATACACTACTTATAAGTAGCGCGCACCACAGTATAAGTGTTCGCAGTAATCGGCGAGATTAAGGTTCGATGATGTTATTCGATATTATTATGGTTAAAATCATTCAGTGAACAGATCTCTTTGGACTCTGGTAGTTAAGTAATAGAAACCAATTTTATACTTGAGGAGGCATCGATTACTTACTTACACAATACCGATATTATGATGACCAATAAATAACATTTATTATCAACGTTATTCCATCTGATGAGTAAATTAGTAATTTTATGAGGAAAAGAAGAATACACTTTTGATGGAAATGTTATTTTCACTGCACTGAAACACTAACAATCATCTGATCATTCTGTAAGACTGTTGCTTATTTAAGAATCCTTGATCAGTGTCACTAGCCATTATAAAAATTACTGAAATGGTAACATTTTAAATAAAACATATTCTAACCGGTGAAATATATGCCGTTTAAATTGACAAGCCTACTTGTCATAAATCAAAATGTAAGAAATATTCTCAGAGGTGAATATGTTTAATACACCCTATGGATATTAGAAATAGTCGTCTGTATGTACAATAAACCCGTAAACTCTAATCAAATTGAGCAATTTACCTTTTCAATGCAGCATCCAATTGAAAGATAATACTGTGTAACAAAGCACGATGATTCCCTGATTTTCGATGTAATCTAACAAAAAACTGAGCTACACGAACACCAGGTATGTCATTATCATTCTATTTATGAAAAACAACATTAATTCATTCATCAATTGGAAATTATAATTTACAAGAATAACAAATTTCCCTGATAATAATTCACGTCTAACATCTTCGTCGAAAGGATCAACCTGAGTTATCTGTTCACTGGCTAAAAATGTCTACGATAATTTAATGACTGGTAAGGGAATGCGGTAGAAAACATACTTGGTAATTATGATACAATTCCATAGCTTGTGGAACAGAAAACTTGCGTGCAGCTAGAATTTTAAAAGCTAGCTGGTGACATTCAGGAGAATTTTGAGCGTTTTGAATAAGTGAAAGAAACTCTTCGATTTTCTAAAATAAGAAAAAATATTTTTTAATAACAAACTTTTTTTAAGGAACAACTAAACACTTGCTTATGATTTAGAAAGAACATAAGTGGTTTAAAAATAACGTTGGTATATGAAGTTGTGACCGGTGAAGTTCAACCTGTTCGGGTGTAGACGGTACCTACCGAAGACAGTTTACAGGGTTGCGCAACTCCGTGAATTGGTCGAAGTTAGACAACAACACCGTTAGAAACCGGCTCAGTGGTCCAGAGGTTAGGTGTTCGCGAGCAAGAACGAAGGTCCTGGGTTCGAATCCTGCGAGGTGCAGGAGTCGCGGATGCGCACTGCTGGTGAGTCTCATACCAGGACGAAACGGCCGTCCAGTGCTTCCAGGTTTCTAATGGTGGTCTAACAATGATTGATTCACGATTTCACATATGAAAGGAGAGCAAACGTTCATACTAACTAAATTATTACTCTTAAATCCCGTGTAATCTTACTGGGATCTACATGATAAACATAGATAGTGGTTAGAGACTTCAGATGACTTGGCTCCAAATCGTTTGCAATACTGAACGTGCCTCCATTCTGTCTTTCCTCAAATTACAGGTTTTTGGATTCAACACAATTCTTTTCCCTTATTGACTGAATTATACTTTCTTGAATTTTATCTTTGATTGTTAGACCTTTCCATTACCAATAATTGGGTTAATAACTCCAATATTCTGGGACTCGGCCTAAAAATATTGTCTCCTTATGGTAATGAGGACCGGTAACTGGAAATGATGTACGAACGTACCACAATCTACATTGCAACTGACTGACTGACTTTACACATATAAATTAATCACAAATGATGATAGATCACACAAACTGAATACCAAAAACACCAATATGAATATAACTTGATGAACCAAAACCACGTTGCTACACATAGGGCGTTGATGATGATGATGATGATGATGGAGCGGTGGTTCAGTGGTACGAGAGCTCGACTTGGTCACTATGTCACACGTATGAACTTCACTTTATCTACTTTAGTGTGAACGTTCGGCTGCCAAAACCAAAATAGATGAAGCGAGGTTTTAACTTCTGGCATACTGCTTAGGAAACTAACACCTTAATCATCGACTTCCTGCTCCAAATAACAGGAATGATACTATTTACTATTCTGAGCCATGTCTAGTTACGTGGAATTCGATAGACAAGATGAAAACAAACTCCAGCAGAAAACTCCGAAAGGAATTTCTTGCTTGCGAGTTGAAGATGGCGTTTATATCAAGAAACATAGCGACTGCCTTGCTGCAGTAAATGTAGTGCTGTTCCAACATTTGGGGGAGCGAAAATGTGGTCAATATAAAGTCTGAAAGCTGCTTCTTGTGAATCAGTTATTCACGGGTTCTTTACGATTTGAAGCATATTGAAAGACAATAGTTTGGAAGCAGGAGACGGTAAAATTTCACCCCGAATATTATTCCAGAAATTACGCGGGCCTTTCTAGGAAGATGGCTTGATTCCAAGAAAACGGAACATTTCGTTGCCTAGTGCTTATATACAGACAGATAAAAACGAATTCTAGGTACTTCACTTAAATCCCAAACAATTATCAGATATACGGCACACATTTATTAAGACTTTCTAAAGACATTAAACCTTTATGTTGTCCAATTCGCGTCTAAGTGTAATCATTGGAGAAGTTCGAATACTAAACGGGGCTCTAAAAAATATATCTTATTCGATAACAGTTAGTTGCAACGCAGAACTTCGTACGTATGTACATCAGTTCATGTTGCCACACCACATTAGCACAGAGACGCAAATATCAAATCAAATCCCATTACGATTGATATAGTAGAGGTATTAATGGTCATGAAGAAGACTAGGGTTTGAAGATATTATTCAAGAAGTATAATTCAGTGAGATAAGGTTAGAAAGGCAAAGGTAGATGTGCTGACGAATCCAGAAGATTGGGATTTGAGAGAGCTCAAAGAATGGATGCACTTGCGCCATTGCAAACGATTCTGAGCCATGTCGTTCAAGGTCTCTAACCGTCGGTTACTATCGTCTCGCGGACCCCAACCAGGTAGTCTGCATCTACCAACATGACTCAGTCCACTTGTCAGTGACTTCATCGATTTCTGCCACGTTTTGGTCTGGCCTCACCTAACTTTCTTCCAACCTACTCCTACGCCACAAAACATAGGTCGTCGAGGCAGTCGGTGGTTAGGTATTCGTAACACATGTCCCAACCACCTCAACTGATGAAGTTTCATTACTTCATCTATTGATCTGACATCCTTACCTAGCACCCGTTTTTTAACGACAGCATTGCTTACTCGGTTGTCCCACGATATTCGATAACAGCATCCATAAAATTAGTCATTCAGAAGGACAGAATATTTAACAGACGAACTACTAAGTGGGATTGAATAAAGATACACAAATAAATTTGTCTATGATTTCACATAATGGGACAGACAGAGCACAGATTCCCCCCTAATTACTCATCGTTTTCGCGAATATTATCAGTTAAGAAAGATCTGATGGATTTTTAAAACTGTTCTGTCAGTGTGCTTGAAAAATAGCAGTGCCTTTATAGAGACCACTAAACAAAGAGAGTGTAATCAAAAGATTTATCTGAAATCCTGCATTAGAAATGCGTTGATTCCATTTAAGTCCTACTAACAGTTTAAGTGACTTATTCACCAAGTTTATGTTAATGGATTAACAGTAAGATTTTAAAGTGGTTTGAGTTGCCATGCCTGATGATAGGAAGTACAAAGGAGCAAAATTCGTTGAGGAAGTCAAATAAATGGTTTTAAGAGATCCAAGGTTTATGCTAAAATCAAAAAACTACCCGTACTTAATTTTACAGTAACATTACTCAAAGTTTTTAGTCGTACATTAAGGAGCGTGGTAAAAATTTTAAATCCCGAATAAAACCCTTGCCGAATTCAGAAAAACTCACTATTTTATCTTAATGTTACTCATTTACCGAAACCTCACTTATCATTGCGTTATTTAGCATCATATGGCTGATTGTATGAGAGCAACTACCCCAGTTAGCACGCTTGTAGACTCAATACAATCAAATCTTATTTACCTACAGTCAGTCAGTCACCCACCATTGCTCGCGGTCGTTACGCAGACTTTTTATAAGTCTGCGCCTAAGCTGACTACGCTCTTCATCATGCTCAGAGTCAGGTGGGATGTGTTTTCGAGCATCCATCAGATCGGTTGTTGCTATTGAGATCCACGATTTCATTCTAGCCTTATGGTCAACCTTACTAGCAGATATCACTGCTGTTTCCACAGCCTTCTTGATAACATACCAACCTGCTCCTGGATGGAAATCGCTTACATGGTTGCTTAACTCTCTTTCTAGTTGCTCCTGAAATATTTTCTTAGTTTGATTATCATTAAGTAAAACCCTAAGAGGCTTTCTTACGGTGTCTTTCCTACGCCCAGTAAGCCTTAAACAGATACGAGCTCGCACTAGAGCATGATCTGAATCCAAACATGTGCCCCAGAACGAGCGACAGTCCTCTGTCGAACCCCTTCATCGGTAGCTGATGGCGATGTGACCTAGTTGAGTCCAACGTTGAGACGACTTTGGGGGTCGCCAGGTCAACAGATGCTTTTCCTTATGCCTAAAGTTGGTGTTCGCTAAGAATAGGCGGTTATCTGAGCATAGTTGCAACAGACGGTCGCCATTGTCTGTTCTCTCAGTCGCTACACCATAACATCCACCTAGATGTCTTTCCTTTTCACCTAGTCTAGCTACTTGAGCATTAAAGTCACCAGCCATTATAACTATATCAGAGCGCTTAACTTTTCGGAGGAGGTCCGAAAGCTTTCTGTAAAACTCATCTTTTACATCATCTGGGCTGCAGTCAGTGGGGGCGTAGGCAGGTATGACGAAGTGGCAACGGCGATTGTCCCTATCCTTCCGAGTCCTTACTGTCCCGTTTAGTCGGACAGCGCACAAACGACTATCTACTGGGATCCAGTCTAGGAGAGATAATTCTGCCCTAGGAACTCAACGCTATGCCTACGCCAGCAAGACCCCTGGAAGCAGCATCAGGGCTACCGGATACACGAAGAGTAAATCGAGCTGCTTCTTCGTTTTGACAAGGTGGAATCAGGTTAATGACTTTACTAGGATCCTGTATGCGCGTTTCCGAGACGCAGCATACATCGATGGCACGAGTTTCTAAAGTCCTAGCTAATGATGCCTGTTGCCCTATTTGACACAATGTCCGTACATTAAAAGCTCCAACTGTAGTCTAGAACGGGGTTTCAAGAGACCAGGAACGACGTTTCGTGATCTCGCTTCGTCTGCATTAGCGGTGCAGTGAGAAAAGGGAGTGTGAGTAGAGTTAGTCGTAGAGATAAGAGAGACATTAGGGGGTGTAGGAAGGATTTGATTTTGACCAATTTGGTCTCTCGTGCTGTTACGGGTATGAGGGCGGTTGTCACTTCCCGGCTGCCCACACCGTGGAAGGTGGTTTCTTGAGGGACCTGAAAAGGAAGATGGATTAGTGTTGGTGCGTGACCGCAGAGACCAACGGACAACTGCTTGAGGCCGGTCACGCACGGCCTTTTTATGAAAGGTATTTAGAGGATTAGCTCCGTTCTTAAAGGCCCTTAGTGGGAACCCTTACCCAAGGAGACGGAAATCCGTGAGGTAGGGTGAGGTAAGACATTTTTAGGGCCGACCTTTTCTAACCCTTCCTTCCTTGTGAGAAGGCAGCATCGCTGCAGATGCTGGTTGTCCGAGGGAAACACCTTACTGCTGTCACATCCCTCCATCACAGTCAGCAGTACGACTTCGCCCTAAGACCTTGGACAGCTGCTTTTAGTATCATCGTTCTCCAATCGACCAGCCTGGCATGGTAGGACCTGCAGGAACATATGTTCCAGTCAATATAGCTCGGTTGGGTCATCACGATAGGCAAGCCCGACCACCACGTCAAGGTAGCAGCTTCGGTCGGGTATTTACCTACAAACGTATTTCGAACATTAAAGCTTACCAGCTCGTGATCTCATAACCTGTGAACACCGTTCATAAGACACAGGATTAAAGCTCGACTATGAACTCATTTGTTCGCCTTCGATTCATGATACTATCGAAGAATACGACAGAGCGAACCCACATGTGATATGCTTGCCGTCTGATAGCTACCCATACAGTTCGTGCCATATTAAGTTAACTGAGATACAATATACCAGCTTTTCACTTGCTTGAAATATCGTAAAATCTTTCATGTATCGAAACAACTGATTTTAGACAGTGTTAGGGTAGATTGTTCATATGTTGTATTCTTATGAGAACGATTTTGGTTGCTTTGAAAATTAGAGAGAAACATTGCGCTACAAACCTTATGTAAAACAATACTGTCAGAGAAAGGTGGGAATCTTGACATTTTATTATCGTCAGTGACGCACTGCTTATGTGTAATGAAATAAACTAAGCGCACGGAAAGTCAGATGATACTCGTAACCAGGGCAAATGAACATCGTTCAATTATTATTTGTATATTGGTGTCACATATAGTTCATAATTGGTTTACAGCTACTAAAGTCGTGAAAACTTGAACTGGTGCACAATTGTTTCAGGTTTTGCATCGGATATAATCGGTTGACTGACCTTAAGTCGCCAAACCGTGTAGGTAATAACCAAGTAAACACCGGTAACGTTATGAAGACAAGAAATGAAACGAATCATTTAAATTGATAGTCGAAGATCTTTCGTGACAGTGTAAGTAGAGAAATGCTTGTTTTTCTTACAAACAACATCACACTTTAATCTACACAAAATGAAAAAATCATTAAAAATTTTCACCATTGCTTTTAACCTTAGGCCTAACTATTCTGTGATAACTACGGACGACTACTAATCCGTACTACTGAGACCTTAGTTAAATGTCGAAAACCTAAAACAGGATTTTTCAGGAACTACAGAACCCATAAAAAGTAGGTAATTAGAAGAAACAAAACAACAAAAACACTGATAATTGGAATCGCCTAAGGACTTCCAAACAAGACAAAAAAACATAATAACCCAACTTTAATCAAAAGGCACTATTTAGAACTTTGTTTACTAACCCTATGAAGCTAAATATGGCCTCAAAAAATTTAGAAGCCCGGTCTTATAAGCGTAAGTTCTTATCCTTTACTTAAGCACTTGGAACATAACATTAGAGCACCCAAACTCTGTAACTTATCAAGATACAATCTAATATCTTTTGCTCAGTTATTGAAATGAACATTCAAGACTTCATTTGTCAGTAAACTAGTTGCAGATTATTTATATTGATATATAAAGGCTTTCTTACAATAAACAGCGCGGTATATGTTAACATAAAAAAACATTTTTGAAAAAAGTAAGATAACAGGGGTTTTTTACCTTTTTCTCATCCTCAGTTAGTTTAAATGAGTCGAAGTGATATTTCATACTAAATCTACCATTACAATCGCTAGGCTCAAACTCAGCGCTATTGTAAAATATTGATTCAAACAAGAATAATGATATTTATCATCAGACAAATGCAGTGGCAGATTCTAACCTTAATTTCTTGTTTTAAAACCTGAAAAAATATATTTTTATGTATTTACTGTACTAGTGTGCAGCACTTCAAAACAGATATGGCCAACATTTGCTTTCAATTAGTAGACCATTCCGCCGATCATTTAAAATCTCTGAACAAATTTACCACTCTTTTAAAATGTTTGATTTGTGGGAAATTAATAATAAATGGAAATAAGAGTCGAATATATAAATGGGGACTGCCATAGAAAAACTCTGCCCCGAGCTCTACTAGGGTTACTGCTGGTCCCAGGCTTGGACAAAAAGGACGTTGTTTAGGCATGTCGTTAGCTAATCCATACCTTAGAAATTCGACTCGCCGAAAAAAGCGCTAACCAGAAAAATAATTCGCTGGTTGGTGGTCCATGCTACAGTAGGGGTAACAAACAAACCTTTAACACACGTCGAATGGTAGATTAGTGGTAAGTTAAAAACCGTGTAACTGAAACTGAGCCGTTAATTATAGCTTTCTTCTAATGCAATGCCGAACCATGTATTGTGACTTTTGGTCAGTTCTTAATCGGGTTCCTCATCACTCATATTTGTTGTTAGATATTTTTAGTCCATGACAAGTTCCTTTTTAGGTGGCCAACACAGATGAACTCCATTGAATCTTGCGGTATACTGGGGTTGAATAGGAATTATTTGACCCTCCCAATCATGCTGAAGTCACTCTTCATTAATTATAAATAATCTAGATTTCACTATCGTCATATGTTATGATAGTTGCGATTAACTGGTTTGAATCCAATAACGCTTTGTGTACTATTAGAAATGCATTTGATTTTGTACATTAGCCATTCCGGTGGAAATTGTTAGAAGTGACTAGACATATAATATTTCATGGAAGCTAGTTACGAGATCAAAACTTCAGCTAGATAAGTGAAGTTTTGCATTGCGTGGAAAATGATCTTGTTGAGTGATTAGAAAAAATCGATTGGTGTACAAACAATGACGGTATTTCTGTAAAGTTCTGATTGCTACCAGACAACACCACTAGACAAAAATGTTCAAATACACATATATTAGAATGTACACAGAGTCGGCAGGTCATAATTAATTACGAAAACAGATGGCGAATAATTATTACAAATAAAACATGTTTGTATTTACATGCAGGGCTGGCTTTTACACGGATAAATTTGTTTTCACTCAAGCGAAATATAGCTTCTGTTTAATTTCGTATGCACCATCTCTGCCTATCTCAAACGGAATTATTAGGGTTTAACGCTAAAACACAGCGACAAGCCAACATCTAACAATGAATAACTGACACATGAGCATTAAAACAACCGATATCTTCATTTTGATAATGGAAGTCTACAGTGTTACAAACTTACAGTCATTCTTTTATGAAAAACCGATAACATACTCCATTTCATGTTAAATAAGTATCTCCTTTTTAGCTGTAGTATAAATAAGTATCCCCATGTGATTAAGGAATCAAGAGCGGTGAAAGCCATGAATTAAACAATAAAATATTGGAAGCAACAGTATCGATCATGATTCATAGAAATGATAAAAATGAGATATATTGCGGGATGCAGCCAAGACTAATGCTACTGTTTACTTTATGTTTAGACAACATCGTGCTATCACCACAGAATTATTCTTAACTCGCTGTAAAACATACGCATGACCAGACCTTGAAATTTATAACGTCGATGCAACTATCCTTAAAAGTTACATAATTCTGGACCAGTCACAGCCTAAAGCATTAAATTTTACAAAGATAGACATAACATTTGGGATTATTCCCTCTGAGTTATAAGGGAATCACGGATGATCTGAAAAAGATATACAACATATCAAATACACCAAATCATCCCGTGATCGTCTTGCCAAAACATCACAACCACGCCCCTCAAGGTAACTCCTGGATGGCACTTGAAACAGCGAACATCAAGGTATGCTCCCACGTTTTCACATTATTTGTTATCCGTACTTGGAATGCTTTCTCAGCTGAAGTGACCACAGCCCCTTCAGTGGGTAGGTTCGAGAAGAGACTTGACAAACCGTACTCACACACGAATTCCTAATTCCTGTTTGGGTTAGTAGCGTCTGATGCATGTCACGGAACCTGCTAGCTGTTATCATTGTCACTTCTTCAGATCACTAACTCATTCTTTTTGGTTGCTATCTCTGTTAGCTCTTCGTTGCTAACACTTTTTTCCTCCAACACTAACTTCACTACCAATCAACCAACTTATATCAAATTTTCTCTTTACTATTCTTCATACTACAGCCTACCAATATCCTGTCTGGTTATGTGATAGCTCCGGATATCCAGAAATCCAACTACCCTGAAACAAACACACTCACGCAAACTAGAGGACAGCCAAGTAACCAGAAATAATACAGTCAAGTGGTGAGACTACCATCAATTGGAAACTATAAGATACCTGAATCTGTACCGAAAGAACAAGAATCAAGTTCACAGAAGTCAATCGGTATGTGAAAAAGATATGGAGTATTTGGAAAGTATACAGATAACTTTGAATTCGTGTTTGTTAGAATGTTTTAAGGGTTTGTGACTCTCTTGTTGTTAAATGCTTTTAAGAAGAGAACTCAACTGGTGAAATTAATTACTTATTGTTTTAATCAATTCTAACAGTGTTTGTTTAACTGTACTTTTTGTTCATTACACTTTTTACACGCAACTTTCTGTTTGTGTAGTTGCCATCTTCGATGTAGCTACTCTTTATTTCTCTCACTTTCTTGGTGTAATTTCGGTGTCCTTTCGACACCACGAAATCATCAGCAACTATATTCTTTACCCTGGATTAACTTATCTTTATAGTAACGGGCTCGAAATAAGTATTCATTGGTGATCACGGTTAATAACAACCCGATCACCAATAAATCCTAATGAATTATTGACAGGAATAAAAGAAATAATCAGAATATGATATACGAAAAGCATGGTAAATAGATGAGAAGGAAATAAAGAGTTTCACATTACTAGGCCTAATGGGTTCAAAAACTGACTGTTATTCAACAAATAGTGAACTTAATTTGGTTGGAATTTTACACATGCTCGCTTGGTTTACCGAGAAGGAAGTGAAGTCGAGTATAAATTAAGTATCAAAATATCAAGTTATGACAAATATATTTCACTTAAACTAGGCATTTGCTTTCCTGCTACATGTGAGCGTTATATTTCATATTATCGTATTTTTAATGTGTACAGGTTCGTTTGCTTGAAACGATAACCTCCCGCTCCACTGTGCTATTAAATACGATCTCAATAAAAGACTACTACAATCATTTTGCAAGCTTTTTAGTATACATAAAGGGGTAGTGTTATTTGCCAAACGTTTACGGTGTATTATAGTTTTAATCACAATGATGGCGAGCATTTTGACAACAATGAAATCGACTAATCATGATATTTCTATTTCAGGTAATAGTTTGAACTTGCTCACAGTCACAGGCCATGTATTTCAGAGTAATCTGTCCCTAGTAACCTTCCCGTTTCTGGTATCATTTGGTTACGAAAAAAGCATGCTCATTCAATAAATATTTCCAAAGACAGATTTCATTGGAAAATGTTATTTTAATAAAATTTCAACTTCAGTTTCAGTTTTTACATTTACTTACTGCAAGTTGTATGATGTACTAAATTACTTAGATCAGGCAACAAAATTTATATTCTGAAACATTAGGTCAGCTCGTTTTATGATGAAATTAGCAATGTTTATAGTTTGTTGAACATTGATCAACTACACTGATTCTTAGCTTTATAATTTCTCTTAAATATCTGTGAGTTTAAATAATCATTGAATACAATGTAAAATGATTATATTCAGGTGTCTAAACTCTGTTGATGAACTTAAAGGAATTAGTTTCAATCAGTCCACTGGACAGTGTTGACCCATTTCAATACAATACAGATCAAATTTGTTTGATACAACCCTGGATTTATTTCATTATAATACGACTGCTATGAATTCTAGTACCAGTGTCGTCATTAATCGAATAAAATTAATCCAATACCATCATTGTTTCAGTCCGGCTGCGTCCAGTCAAATGTATTATGCGTTGATCATTTATTATATCTGTTTAATCCTGTTTTTTCGGTTAGTTAAACATAAATCCGTAAACAATATTTCAGTTTTTATTCCACGGTTCGTTACCGAGTTAAAGATAGCAAACTTAGCACAAATTCACCTTTACAGTAAAGAGTTCCTTGATTTTTTTAGGGCTTTGCAACGCTTTTATCATAGCTATACAATGGTATATTTAATTTGCACTGTACAGCAGTAATAAAAACATTCACTGTGCTTTCTACTGAATTCACAAGATAGATTTGATCTTCAGAAGTAGTCAAACTGTAATGCGAGATTATCAAAATAAAAGTCCGGTAGAACCAAATCAACACAATCGAACGTATTATGATTTGAATTTATAATAAGCGTGGGACAACAATGTACACAGGATCCTCGAACTATACATGTATGTCAACAAAACCCAATCAATAACAGTCCTGATTACCAACATCCAGAAAGTACAAGTCTGTAAGAATGGTTTACCGATGTTGAATTAAGCATTACTCCATTTCTTAATTTAAATATTATCAAGAGCTAATTTGGAAATCAGGGCAGCTTATAATCTGACTCATTAAGCTATTTGTATACAAAATCAAGAACAGTTAAATAACAACGTCGAAAAACATCACAACTTAATTAGGCGATTGTTCAAACCTTTGAAGTAAAACCACTTTTACGAAGAGAACTCGACTGGTTTAATAGAAACATTCATTATAGTAACCAATTCTACCAGTGATTATTTAACTGTACTTTTTGTTTATAACACTCTTTACGCGCAAGCTTCCTGTTTGTGTTGCTGATGTTTTACGCTCTACCAGCTCTATAAACTCGCCTCATTCTCCTAACTCGATTCCGGTGTTCTTTCGACACCATGAAATCGCCAGCAAATATATTCTTTTTCCATGAATTTATTCATCTTTTCAGTGACGGATTCGTAATTAGTATTTAGTAGTGATCATAGTCAATCGCGACTCGATCACTACGTTTTCATTCTTCTAGCTCCAATGTTGGTCACTCAAATAATTCGTTGATGCAATCATTTTCCTGTATATATTTCCACATTTTTATTCTTTTCATTTGTTTCTCGGCCTTCACAAATCGTTAAGCTTTTATCCCGTACGCCTGCAATTTTGTGATCAGTGTGGTGCAATTCGTATCCGTCTTCTGAATTTTATGTACCATTAGGAGTTATCTAGAAACGATTATCAAGACTTGCAGTATATGAAGTTTAGGGAACATATCGAATGTCCATCGACTAGAGATTTTAGAAAGTAATTTCAGTTCAGACCAGTAAACAGAAATTTTTTTATGAAATGAATAGAACGGCAACGAAAACATTGATAACATTTACAAAAATGTATTATTCTCAAATCGAATCAAAAATGGTCTACAAACACATCGATGGTATATGGTTACAAGTCTTCCAATCAGCTTTTATATACTTATTTGTTGCAGAATAAAACTTTCATATTAAAATAGAACTCTGGAAGCCTAAATGAAAACAGAACAAGAAAATCTAATCATATCTGGTAAATCCTGATGGTGATGAATGTCTATAGCAAATACTAATTTAAAAATTAGTATTTTTGGCATACTTTTTCTACCGATTTCATTGTTTTCTCTAGTTAAGCGATACATAGTATTGTTTAGCGTAGAAAAGATCAATTACGACTAATCGTGGGACCTAGAAAGGGAGTTTCCTCTTATTGGGGACGCGTTAGCTGAATGTTCCTGCAACCCAAAGTAAATTTTCACATAAGAACTAGAAAATAGTGTTTCCATTCAAACTCCTTATCAAAATGCATGGGAAAATCGATAAGATATACAAAACCAAATGAATTTCCATAATTTGAAAGCTTCACAAGAATTATAAACAGCCCCAAAGTTATAGATATTGCGTCAAACCATAGTAGTAACCATGTATTTTAATATCGACCTTAGAATGCTAGCGTCTGATGAGTAGGCTTAATACAGAACAAATCTGTTTCTTTTTCAAAGAAAATTAATGATAAAAGTCTTCTTTGTATTCTAGATTTTCACTTTAAAATATTGCTTTTGATCACTAGTTTCAATAACCTTGTCAGTCCCGTCAGTTGAATAATTTGGTACATTTTAAAGTCAACACAAATTAGGACGCCTAATACTGAGAGAGATCGATAGCTGATACCATTGTAGATGTTAAAGTCGAAAGACTATGGACACGTCTACAAACCAACTGAGTTCTGATCCCAAGCATTATCCCAAAATGGAATAGTTCAGACGAAATAAGTGTATTTGCTGGCTATTTTGTGGTCTCGAAAGAATACTGAAACGTGCCAGAGAATTGAGTGAACGTACAGAGCATCAAAAGCAAGATGGCAATCGCGAAGGAGGAAAGTGTGGTCCAAAAGTACGAGTCAACAAAATGTTCACTAGTACAGCTGGTTATAATAATGAATGTTGCTCTTTAACTAATCGTCTTTTCTTCGTAACAGCGAAATCATTACACCATGCTCAAGAATCGAATCTGACAGTCAGGTCCAAACTGACTGAAGAATAAATGACCTGCAAGCTAATAAACTCGAAACACCTTCGACATTTTTTTGTGTTCACTGAACTATACTTCTTGAATAATATCTTCGATCTCTAGTCTACTCCATTATCGCTACTATCTCCACCAATATGGGATTTAAACGGATAGTTGCATCTCTGTGCTAATGCAGTCTGGCAACTTGAACCGATGTACATACGTGCGAAGTTCTTTGTTGTAATTGACTGTAACTGGCGTGTTCATATACATTAGATAAGTATGTTCTCCGCGAAAGCAATCTTGTTTTTGATTTAAAACTATTAGAGGCTTAAGTAGATAGTCTGTTCGCGTAAAGATCATCAATCGGTCACTGCATATCACTGCGCATATCCATCAAATAACATTGTAAATATTAACTTTAGCAATCACAGATCGCCTCTCATCAAATCACTAAAAGCCTCCTGTCTGTCAGTGGTAAATGAGTCAAAATAACAGTATAGTTAATATGGTCAGAACTAGACAAAGCGAAGGTGGTCCAAAAAGAACAAATAAGCTACACAATTTAAAAGCGTGAAATCATGTTAAAATAGTAGCTGAAATTAAGGAAGTAATTAGCCTCTGATACTGATAACAAGGTTTAAATATTACCAAATATAAAGTTTCCAACAATAAAACTACAGTTATTCACTGGAACAAAAGCATCAAATTTGTTCATTTTATTACGAATAATTTCAGAAACCACTGATTTCATAAAATGAAGTTGTGTCATCGTTTCTGCCTATTTCAACCTTTTTAACTTACATGTTTATCTCAAGATTTATTCATAAACAGTTTGAGAACTATAAATTTTACTATGAGCCTTGTCGATAACTGAGAACGATAAGTTCTAGCCCCATCCCCCCCCGTCCGAAGACAAGTAAACTGTCTGTGTGCATGAGAGTGCAATGAACAGAAAGAATCCACATCCTCAGAAAAGAAATCCGTTTTTTAGCCATTGTCTCGCATTCGTCCTTTAGGACATTTTCTGGTAATCGTCCAATGACCTTCTAACTAAGTCAATTCTGATTGGCTTTGTATTAAGATGATATATATAACCAAATAAATAGTAAATAATGGACGTTGAGCAGATATTTCACCCAAAAAAAGGGATAATGAAATACACTGTAGATGACGAATGAACTCTGAAGGCACTTAGTAGCACTGTGCCTAACAAAGGTGATGCTTTCAGGTACTTCGATAACTTTTGAATAAAGATTTTGATGCTACCAGTTTTTCGATTTTTTTTTATTACTTACTTAAGCCTGTTGCCCCTAATGAAGCATAGGCCGCCCACCAGTTTTCTCCAACCAACTCAGTCATGGGCTTCCCTTCCAATTCTGTCCAAGTTTTTGTTCATTCTTCTCATGTCTTCCTCTATTCTCGGGGTAATTTGTTCATTGGCCTTCCTCTTTTCCTTTTGCCCTGAGGGTCCCAAGTGAGGGCTTGTCTTGTGACACAGATAGAGGTGCCTTCCTCAATGTGTGTGTCCTATCCACTTCCAGTGCTTCTTCCTGATTTCCAACTCCGCTGAAATCTGGTTTGTTCTCTCCCACAGTAGGTTGTTGCTGATAGTGTCTGGCCAACAAATACGCAGTATTTTGCGTAGACAACTGTTAATAAACACCTATATCATATGGATGATGCCTTTCGTAGTTCTCCAAGTTTCCGCTCCATACTATTTGTGAAAACACATTTTTGTCAAACTGTTTAGAAATATCATGTGATAGAGAAATTTCAAACTCAGTATACAGTGAAGAATTCAAATTTCCAGCTAATAATCAATCTTTCATTTCCATAATGTCAGTTAGGGTTTTCAAATACTCATTTTATAAGTTTGAAAGCTATATTTTAAGTTAATAATTTATTAAATATTTAGTTCATTGATCAAATTATTGTTTTAAGAGAACTTATACAGGGTTAACTAAGGACAGATTAACCGATCAAGCATATAATCGTGTTCAATCTTTTCAACAAGCCATTATTTTGTTTTATTAGATCAGATCGACAAGAAGGTTATTTTAGTGACATGATTAAAATATGCCAGATGCTATTGTAATCAATATCCCTCGTTCCACATTTCCATTGAAATCATTTTTTGAGGCAAAATTTTCATTCAATAAACGAAGTGGTACACAAAAACTGCAATGGCCAACTCCTCCACCAAATTGTTTATGGAATGTACCTGCACCGGATTTCAGTTTATACAAATGGGAACCACTTCCCCCTGAGAGAAATACTCGTGAATCTATGAAACCTATGCGAACTAAAATTGTGAAACAGGAAAAAGTCAATGATGATAAAAAGATATCAGAATCAACTGATGTACATAACAAAGAGAAAAGTCCTAGATTAAAATTTGTCAGATCTATGAGACCTTATACAGCCAAGATTTTATTTGTTAGGCGTGGATCGTTTAAGCCAGGTCCGTACATAATGCCCAAACCATATGATCATCGAGGAGTAAGTTCTTCTTTTAAACATTTTTTTATCAAGTAAATAATAGATTGTAATGAAATCATTAAATTGTGTTATTAAAGCGATATTTGATGATGTTGAACAATAGATTATTCAGATTCATGCTTTTCATCACACAGAAAATACTGTTCTAAAACGAAGATTTAACTAAGATTACAGATGTAACAGTGTGGTGTGAGCTACTTATAAGTAGTATATGACGTGAGTGTCAACGTAATGTCTGGCAGCAGAACATGGGGGAAGATCAAGAAAGGAAGAGTTAGAACACAATGGAATTTGTATGAAACGTATGAATAGTGACAATGGATTGATGTTTTGCAACAGGAACAGTCCAGTTCGATATGATGGACTGATATTTTGCAAATTAACAACGATTTACGATATGGTTTTCCTATTTTACTGAGTAACTCTGTAATTTTCGTCAGTTCTCGTTCATTTCAACAGATCTACTGATGTAAGCAAATATTGAAGGTAGTAATAAATGGATTCGGGTCACTTAAACTAATAGGTACTCAAAACTATGCATTCGATATTGTTGAAAGAAACTGAAATATTTAGTCGATGCTGAGACCAAACTTGTAGAATACTAAAAATATTTTTAGAATTATAAACTGGCTGTGTAGTAAAAGAATAAATATTTCCATTTTTGAGAAGCAAAGTCCTTAGATGTAATACCCTGTCTATTTTGTGTTACTTACTTACTTACATCTTTTACCCTAATGGACCACAGGCCGCCGACCAGTGAACCATTTTATGGTCAGCACTTTTTAAAGATTTGGCTCGTTAAACCCACGCCCGATCTTCCTCCTTTATCCGAGCTTGGAACCGGCAGTAACCCTAGAAGGTCTCCAGGCGGAGTTGCATATTTTGTATAGTCAAAACATTAAGTCAGATTAGTTGATTCTACCACAAACTATTTCACTAGTAAACGCTTTTGTCCCTGAAATTTGTTACAATACTAAGTTTTTGTAATACTTCATTAATTCTACACATTTTAAACTTCAGTAATATGGAGTAAAATGAAATTTTTTGCGTATGCTTTGTTCTAACTCTCAATGGACTAGTCAGTATTGATATGAAAATTCTCAGAGACTAGAAATAAAATCCATTTCCTAATATTTTATCTAATCAGTAGACATTTTCCATGACAAATAACTACAGCATCAAACCATGAAGTGACCATTAATGCAAGTATTTATTAAATTCGGAGAATTCTTCAGTCGATTAAAAGAACTTTTGAACTAATTTATTAC